CATGCTATGGATGAGGACTATTCTACCTCGAAAAAACACAACACTTGGATTCTTGTTCCCAAACTTCAGGGTTGATCTTCGATTGGGTGTAAGTGGATATACAAGATTAAAAGGAATGTAGATGGGACTGTATCGTGCAATTAGGAGTGCTTGGCTGCCAAGGGTTACACACACAAATATGGCTTGGATTACTATGAAACCTTTAGTCCGGTGGTTAAACAGTAGACGATCCATCTTGTCTTTGCACTTTCTCTATCCTTCCAGTGGCCTCTTCAACAATTCGATGTCTCAAATGCCTTTTTACATTGTGAGGTTGATGAGTATCTTTATATGGTTTTGCCTCCGGGGTATGTTGACCCACGCTTCCCTGGCATGTGTGTAAATTTAAAAAGTCCTTGTATGGACTTAAACAAGCCCCACGGTATTGGTATTTGCGACTCTTTGTCTTTCTCTTTTCTTATGGATTTCGAAAGAATGTGCATGACACTAGTCTTCTTATTCTTCACAGCATTGCTGGTACTCTTATATTGCTTGTTTATGTGGATCATATTATTGTCATAGGTAGCAATCCCACACTTATTCAACAATTTATTCAGTGCATGTGCACCGAGTTTCACACAAAAGATCTTGATCCTCTTGATTATTTTCTTGGACAGGAAGTAACCTGTAGTGGTTCATCTCTTGTACTATCTCAACGTAACTATGCAACCGAGCTTCTACATCGTGTTGGGATGGAGGGCTGCTGCTCCTTGCCTAACCCGCTACCAGTCCAACATTCAACCAAAGAAGAAGGTGAGCGTCCATTTGCTGATCCCACTTTGTTCTGTAGTCTTGTTGGTGGCCTACAGTATCTTACCACTACTCGTCCCGGTATTTAGTTTACTACTAATTATGTTTGTCAAAGGATGCATGCTCACATAGAAAGTGATTTTCAGAGGCTAAAGCAGTTCTTACGCTTCATCAATGGAACACTAGATTGGGTCTTGTTTTTCAAGCTGGTGACCTAAAATTGCGCGCCTACTCTGATTTTGATTGGGAAAATGATATGCCTGATTGGCGTTTAGTTAATGGATATGTAGTCTACTTGGGGCCGAATCTGATTTCATGGAGTACAGAAAAGCAAATATGGGTGTCCAAGCCATCCATTGAGGGTGAATATTGTGTGTTGTCTGATGCAACATCTAAGGTTATGTGTTTAACTTATATTTTGAATGATCTTCATATCTCCACTCCTCCACCTCACCTTTTTTGTGACAATCAGTTTGTTGTATGTCTTCTTAAGAACCCTGTTTTTCATAAGTGCATGAAACACGTGGGCACTAATGTCACTTTGTTCGAGAACAAGTTATCGCTGGAACCATGAGTGTCACATGTGTTTTCTGAGGATCAACTAGCCGATCTGCTGACTAAAGAACTACCATCGCTACGCTTCCAGAAACTGGTGTCCAAGCTTCCACTCGTTTCACGTAATTTAGCTTGAGGGGGATGATAGACAATCATTATAGATACTGATTATTTATGGAAGTCTTTAATTTGTATACTCCCTCCGTCCCGCTATATTCGTCCATTTTTTACTTTTGGAATTGTTCATCTAATCACTTTGACTCATCAAATTCTCTCAATGTGTAAGCCTAAATATAGTCATGTGTGATCTTGTTTGATTTGTCTTAACATATAGATTATTAATATATAATTTCTATAATTTTTTAATATACAAATTACAAGATAAAATGGATTAAAAAAGTGTATTGGATGGTGTGCAAAAATAAAAGTAGACAAATACTCTGGGAGACTGGCACGGAGGGAGTATTAGTTAATTACCTTTTATGATTCCTTAGTATTGTTTGGAATCTCTCCCTATAGATGAACTTGTATTACTCGTATTTCATTAATCAATACAATTGTTCAATTATTCAGTAGTTTCAATCGTACAGTCATAGTTTGAAATAAAGAGGCATCACTTTTTCTACCGTAATACTCCCTACGTCTTATATCTTTCTTCCCGTTGCGCAAAACGAAGAAAAATCCCAAATTTTTTCAATCTATTTTATTTAAATATTGGTATAGAAATAAAAAATAAAACATACATATTTAAAAACTACATCAAAACTTCAACAAAACAAGTGGTGACAAGAATATTTTATTTTATCATATAGGCCATGAAAAAACACAAATAAATATAAATTCCCGTGAAGTTGGAATAGTGCTCTGGGAAGAAAGTTTTAGGACGGAGGGAGTAATAGAGAAAATAATTAGACTTCTTTACACACAAATCACTTGTTTGGAGTTATTTTGTTGTTAACCAGAGTATACTGTACACCTTCTTTTTATCCCAAAAGTTCTATTTTGTAACCCGGTTACTAAAGGTAGATAGTAAACATTTAAGAAAATGTGAAATTTCATGTGACTAGAAAGTGATAGCCGTCTTTGCAATTTTCACCCTTATTTCCTACTAAACTATCATCAAGTTCTAACAACCTTTTTCGCGTGTGTGTGAGTTTTTGGATTGCCATTTGAGAGGTAACGATGACCTAACATTTTTTTTTGAAAAAGTCGTATTTTGAGCAAAAACAAAATGAATGATGAGATTATTTGAGGAAACTTTTCCTTTTATTTAATTTAAAATTGACATTATGTTTCTATAAACATAACAATACGCTCTTATCACATATTTGTGTCAATCTCTTAAAAATATATTTTTTCACAACTTTGTAGTGTTGTTTTGAGAAAAAATTAGTAATGGATTGTCGGAAAAACAATCAGGGTAAAATTAGTATTGGGTAATGTTACTTGGTAAAAAGATTAAATTAAAAGTAAAATATGAAAAAAGTAACAAAATAAGAATTTCATATTTTTTTCTCAGAGTAGGAGTACAATGTCAATAATGTCAATATATAATATCAAAAAAATAGGATCCCATTATATAGTGTCACAATATGAAAGTGCAAATCCTATTTTGGGGATAAAAGTGTAGAACTCATGTTTTAAAGATAAATAATACTCCCTCCGTCCCCAGTTTTTGTCCACTTTCATTTTTGCACACCATTCAATGCACTTTTTTTAATTCATTTTATCTTATAATTTGTATATTAAAAAATTATAGAAATTATATATTAATAATCTATATGTTAAGACAAATCAAACAAGATCACACATGACTATATTTAGGCTTACACATTGAGAGAATTTGATGAGTCAAAGTGCTTAGATGAACAGTTCCAAAAGTCAAAAGTGGACAAAAACTGGGGACGGAGGGAGTACAGAGTATGTTTTACTCTTATTTGAAGTGATTTCTTGTATTACTTTGTAATAAAAATTACTAAAAAAATAATTTCTAATTCTCCACTTTGGGGGAAAAATATCAGAAAAAAATTGTCCTCCAAAAAATTGTAAGGACTCGTGGAAAAATAATTCATAATGTCGCTTTGAAAAAAATTGTTTCTATACGAAAAACATGTATTGATTTATCAAAATGATGCATTCCATTTTGGGAAAAGAATTGCTTGTTCTGGCAATTCATAAAAAATGTGAAACGACATTTAAAAAGTTGTGAAATTCGTGCTACGGTTTTTTAGGTTCAAGGGAATAATTAGATCGAATTATCTAAAAAATTGCGCTACAACTTTTTTGTACTAAACTTTTTTTTGAAGGACTTTTTTTTTGTACTAAACTAGTTTCTCTAGAACGAAACTAAATATTTTTTTGACAACTCACTATAATGTTTTTTTTTCTCGAAACGACATTACAAATTATTTTTCCGGTATTCCATTATTCCGTACTATTTTTTTTGAAATGACAGTACAAAAGTTGTGAGCCGATATATTTTTTAAAGATCGACAATGAAAAAAGCTTGGTTTTATATTTTAAGAAACATTATTTAAAATTTTAAAAACTTAAAAAAATGAAATTATAAAAGGAAATTTATCCACCAATAATTGCACTTTTCATTGCGCAAAATTAGCATTTTGAAAAAATGTGAGATCACAATTACATATCTAACAACGACTCTAAACTCGCACAAATGCGAAAAGATGAGATGATTACATGTAACATTGAAAGCTGAAATTATTTTTTAAAGATCGCATAAATGTGATATTATTTCAGATGTTTTTTCCTAATACCAATAATAATAATAATAATAATAATAATAATAATAATAATAATACGTAATATTGTCATTCATTAGATTTATGTATCCAATGGATTAAAAAAGAATAACAACTTTATAACATGGTGTTTTTCATATTTAGTTCTCTTTTTTTAAATATTATGCTTATGGTTCTTCTTTTATGGGTATCTTTCCACGAATTATCCTTTTTTAAAATATTGTCATGTTGGTGTTAATTTGAAAGCTAAAAATATAATTTGACATAAAATCTATGTCCAATGATGTATTCTGATGTCGATTAGACGGACAATACCATAATAATGAGGGAAATGATATTTGTGCACAAAAAATTATACCCTGAAGGCATGCAACAATATTTTATGCTAGTGTGATACTTTACATTGACACAAAATGCAAGTGTAATTTTTTTCATTGAACTAACATTTTGTGCCAGTGTGAACGTTAAAACTTAAAATGCTGGCGCATCCCTTTGGAGTACAGTTTGGGGTACATTACGATTGTAATAATGACTGACTGTGGAGTGGGACTCCGGAGAAAGATCACATCTTTAGTCTATACTTGTAGTAGAAAATGACTGTGATTCACAAATGACGCATTAGAATTGACCTCTTGTATTGTGTATGACAAGAAAATTATATGATCATTATGAAATTATATTTTAATCCTCAAATTAACATCAAAATGACAGAAAATAAAAAATGATTACATATATAAAAATACCCATAAAAATACCCAGATCAGAACTTATTAAAATCAGATCAAATCAGAAAAAATAAATTGAACAGAACGGAGCCTTAATATTTGATAATAAAAGATTAAATTATTTAAATGACCGATTATAGAGACATTCTAAAAAGAAGTTGGATTCATATTCTTAAAATTGGATCTGGATTTGGGGATTTGAGTCCGATTCTAAACCCTGGTTAAACCCCGTCGATTTCTCGGAGCTCTAGCATTTCTCAGATGAACACAATCCATTTCTTCCGCCGCTCTCTTCCAAACTCTGTAAGCCGATGCCAGCGGCGTACGCTTTACGACGCCGCCTCATCCATCATATGCGTCCGCGACAGGGGCCTCGACCACGCCGTGGAGAGGGAGAAGAACCTGAAGCCGGTGTGGAACGTCAAGAACCTCATCAAATCCGAGCCTTCAAAGTCTCTCCCTCTCAACATCATCACTCAATCCAGGGACTCTCTTGAAATCCCCACCCGCCCCATCGAGTTCCTCCGCAAATACCCTGCAATTTTTCAGGAATTTTTCCCTGGTGGGGTGAATATCCACCCCCACATCAAACTCACCCCCGAAGTACTCAACCTTGATTTGGAAGAGCAGCTGCTCTACCAGAGCGTCAGCTACCGGGAGAATTTGGCCGACCGGATCTTGAAGCTTTTGATGATTGGTAAATCTAATAAATTTCCACTGTCTGTTCTTGACACTCTTAGATGGGATCTGGGTTTGCCCCACAATTTCGTGAACATTATAGTTCCAGAGTTCCCGGACTATTTCCGGGTGAGTGATGATGGGGCAACCTTGGAATTAGTTTGCTGGAGTCATGAGCTTGCTGTTTCCGAGATGGAAAAGAGTGCCAAGAAAGATGGAAGCTTGGGACTTGATGTTGAATCCCCGGTTAACTTTTGTTTGAAGCATTCTACCGGGTTTGAGATGGATAAAAAGTACCAAAAATGGGTTAATGAGTGGCAAAAGTTGCCTTACCTTTCACCTTACAAGAGTGCAATGCACCTTGCTCCAAATTGTGAAGAGTCGGATAAATGGGCAGTAGGTGTTTTGCACGAACTTCTTAGTTTGTTTGTTGGGAAAAAGGCAGAGAAGGATAATGTGCTTGTTCTTGGAGAGCATTTGGGTCTACGGTCTAGATTCAAAAGAGCATTGCTACAGCATCCAGGGATATTCTACATTTCGAGTAAAAACAGGACACATACTGTGGTCTTGAAAGATGCATATAAAAGGGGCGTTTTGGTTGCCAAGTGCCCAATGATGGAAATGAGATTCAAATATGCTCGTTTGATGAATACTTTGAGCGACGATAAAAAAACAAGTTGTGCACATGGAAGAATTAGTATTGACTTGAAGGGAAGGAAACAAGAGAAGTTAGATGATGAGGATGGGGGAGAAGAAGATAGAGATTTTAGTGATGACTATGAAGATGAGGACCAGGAACAAGATGAAGAAGAAGCAACGATTAGAGGAAGATCAAGTTTTAAAACAAAAGATGAAGATACATCTAGAAGCATAACTAGGAGATTAGATCGCAGAGACTCCATTCGGAAAAAGGAATGTCCTCCGCGATCTAGGAGAAGAGTAGCAAATCATGACATGCACGAGGAGGTAAAGGAAGCAAAGAATGGAAGGAGGACAAATTTTAGCACAACCTTTGACAGGAAGAATCTTTTAAGAAGGTTAGCTCTACATGAAATAAATACATGCGCTTTGTGTGTATAATCTTTCTTGTTGAGTATCGTTTTTATTGTCCTTCAAGTGCATTCAATAATTTTCAAATGACAAAAGGTCTCTCTTAGTAAATCAAAAAGAAAACCGGGGGGGCAAAAACAAACCTTATGTTCTTTAATTTTTGAATCATATTGCAATGTTCTCTAGGCAAAAAAAAAATGCAAATACAAGAACGCAACTGCACTCTGTACCCTTGTAGCAAACAGAGAACTGGAAAAGTTGTTTCCATTAGACCCTTGTAAATATAAAAAAATTATGGAAAGTTTTGTCGATGCATGAATCAATAGAAAAATGGAGCCCCGGCTTTCATAAGCTAATATTTCAAACTAATTTGTTCTGTTGTAGGTTTAGACCGGATTGCAAAACAAGGAGAGGGGAAAGAAGCAGCCATATTTGACATTGGAGGAACTGCAGCACTTCTCTGGTTATACGGTTGTGAAATGGGGTTGCTATGAGATGGGGTTTCTGTGAGATGACTACTGAGTACTGACCCCTTTTTTTTTCAAGTCTAAAGAGTCTACTTTTAAGAAGAATTTCATGTGTTACAAAAATGGATTTAGAGGTTTCGTTGCGTTGTATTTCCTATGTTTCTTCCATAGCTTTTTACCACGGCAGCAAACGGTTTTCATGGCTCATAGTTGCTAATACAAAGTGGTAAACAAGAGGTCTGTTGTTATGCATAAAATCATATGCAAATCTGTTGAATGGTTATGGTTATGAGTTGTGTGATTTAAAGAATGCTTTTTGAATATAGTTAAGCTTTAGGCCCCGTTCCGTTCAACATATTTTTTCTTATTCTTATTAAAATCAGATCAGACCAGACCAGATCAGATCAGATCGAATCAGATCAAATCAGATCAGATCCAATCAGATCAGATTAGATCCAATCAGATCAGATCAGATCAGGACTTATTAAAATAAGATCTCATCAAGAATTATTATTATTATTATTATTATTATTATTATTATTATTATTATTATTATTATTATTATTATTATTATTATTACTATTATGATCATCATCATCGTCGTCGTCATCATCATTATTATTATTATTATTATTATTATTATTATTATTATTATTATTATTGTTCTTAAAAATGAAAAAGAATAAACTTTAGAAATAGGTTAAATAAAAAGCTGAGAAAGCAATCCTTAATTATTAGACGTCGGAAAAATTAGTTTTAAAATACATTGACATTGTCAATCTAATTCTACTTTTAAAATATATTTTATTGCTACTTGTAATTTGAGTTTCTAAACTTTTGATCTTTTATAAGAATGAGATATTTTAATAAAAATACTATCTCTTCTATATATTGATTATCTAAATTTAATTACTTTTAAATGTATATCTAAATTAAATATTTATTCTAATGTATAATTCTAATTTTACAAAAAAATAATCATAAAATAAAAAATATTATTACATTATAATATGAATGATTATTCTAATATATGAATTAACTATTTTTATTTTATTAAAAAATAATCATTAAATAAAAAATACTGATTATATTATAATATGAATTATCATTACAATTTTCGAACGTTATTATAAAGTCAAATTAAATTATTGATTTGAAATTTTAAATTAAATCATAATTAATCAGATCAGACCAGACCAGATCAGATCCGATCAGATCAGATCCAATCAGATCAGATCAGATCCAATCAGATTAGATCAGATCAAATCCAAATCAGATCAGATCAGATCAGATCCAATCAGATTAGATCAGATCAGATCAGAACTTATTAGAATCAGATCAGATCAGAAAAAATAAGTTGAACGGAACGGAGCCTTAATCACGTTCTTTACCTATTTTTGCTGCCTATTTGATAAAATAATAGTATATTTTTGTCATCTCTTGTTTGTAGATTTTTTATGTATATTTTTAAGTATATAAATGTTATTTTTAATTCCACATTAATTTTCAAATAAATAATCATTTCAATGAAGCATCGTAAACATGTGATTTAATTGGGACGGAGGGAGTATTTGGTTAGGGGTGGAAATGGGGTTAGTGAAGATGTGGTTGGTGCGTAGGGTGAATGAGATAGAGGAGGGGTATGTGGGGGTTGGGTGGTGCGATAATGGTAGAGGGAAGGGTGGGGGAGATTAAGGAAGAGGGACGAGATGGGTATGGTGTAGGGTGCTTTTAAAAAAAAAAGTTTCTTTTACCATTCGGTATCGAAGGTAAAACGTCTTTTTTTGTTAACCTATTCTTTCATTGAAAATGAAAGTACTTTCTTATCCTTCTCTCCCTAGTTGTTATCGCTATCAGACCGTTGTGGCACCCCGCCATTCTTATCGGGCGTTTCTACTCTAGCAGACATATTCGTTATTCACGTTACGGTGGCACCCCTTTTTTCATCGTTTTCTAATTCAATCGTCGCTTGCGTTACCTAGTGTTCATGGAACATACTCTGTCGCCTCTCATTGTCTGCCGCTGTTCGTCGGTGTCTCATGCACGACCAATTGTTTGCATCTAGATCTCTTTGTTGTCTTCTTTTTGTAGCTACTCGTTGGTAAAAAAAAGTGCTTCCCACATAAGTACACATTCATATAATAGTTACAGTTAGGATAATATAATTAAACATAGCTGCAGGGAGATCGACACATGTGGACATAATTAGAGTCGATATACGTCGATAAACTAAAGTTCGACATAATTACAATCTAAATATGTTCATAGGCACTTTGAAATTAGTCAACATATTTTAGTCAATCTGTCAATACATGACACCATTACTAGGTCAACATATTTTGATATTTGTTAGTCGACAAATTTTTTATCTTGACAAGTCTCGAAGTATTTATGTTGACATTTTGAAATATATCAAGATATTTTAATCGATCTCGGTCACATGTTTGAGCCTTTGAGGTAATTAGTTCAACAAATATGTCAACAATTATTAGCCGACATATTTGTGTCGAAAACTCTTTACAAAATTTGCTATTATATTTAAAGCCTTGGCAAAGGCAAATAAAAAAATGGAATCCCACACGGTGACATAGAGCATTTTAACCAATCAAAAAAGCCCAGTCACTGTGTGGCGAGTGTGTGGAGTGACATGTCATGCAGTGACAAATAATTATTTGTGTCATTTTTTACACTTTTGTGACATATTTTATATATAAAATTTTTTACTTATCTTTTTGTTCATAAAAATATATGCAATTCATTTTTTAAAAAAAACCTTTTTTTTCTACAAAATAAATAAATAAAAACAAAGACTGCCTCGCACAAGACATGCCTTGCCTGGAGTAGGGATGTAAACAAATCAAATATTTTAAATTCGATTCGCGATTCGTATTCGAATATGATGATTCGAATTTGCGTTGTTCAAATTCAAATTCAAATTCAAATATTATTCTTGATTCGAATATTAATCAAATACAAATACAAATAGGGATATATTCGATTCGGATGATATTCGAATATTCGAATATATGTACATATACACAGACCATGTTTTCAACATCAAAAGTCAAACAAAGTAATATAGTATAAAATTTATTTAAAATACTAAGAATTCAATATATTAACGTAACACAAAAATCTAAAGCATATGATTTTTAATAGTTATATTTTATAAAATATAATTTGTGTAAGATGCAAATGTATTAATGTTTTTATATACGAAATATAATATAGTATAAAGAATATCGTAAGTTAAATTACAAATTGATGTTGGTCCATCATACAAATTACTCCGTACATATTATGATTATTCAAATATTCGTTTATGATTCGATAACTATTCGAATATTAATCAAATACTTATTCAAATCTTATTTTGAATTCGTCTCATATTCGGATTCGGATTCGTATTCGAAAAAATTAAACAAATACAAATTCAAATATATAGGTATTCGCTTTGATTCGGTTCGTTTACACCCCGAGCCTGGAGGAATGGAGCATTCAAGCATGACAAATCGAATAATCCCGAATCGAATCCAAAATGACTCAAAAACTAAAGAATCGAATTTAACCCGAACACTTGAAATGATGTGAATCGAACCTAAACCGAACTGAATGTATTGAAACCCGATTCAGATCCGGATCTGATTGAACCCGAACTAGTTAGACCTGAACCGATTAAACTCGGAACCGATTAGATCCCAAAACTAACCCAATATTGATCAAATTCAAAACAAACTAAACTCAAATCCAGACAAACCAAATAGCTCATTAGTTGATGTCTTTATAAGAAAAATATATTTATAAATTATAAGTATAACTTATTTAATGTACAAACCTTTTGTATTTTATCACTTAAATTAAGGTTATTGTTTATTTTTCTAGAGAGTTTATATAATTTATAGTGACATCGTAACACACATTGAAAGATATATATTCAGGGCCGGCCCAATAGAGAGATAAGGTGTCCGTCCGGGCCGGGCCCAAAAATTTTAGGGGCACAATTTTTTTTAAGTATTATATACTCCGTATATATATAAGTCCAGGCCCAGTCTACCATGACCCACCCCTTATTCCCTTAACTTATTACCTCTAGAACTCTAGCCCAATCCATACATCCGGAGACCAAAAGAAAAAAGCTAAAGTGAAGCGCCGATCGAAGCAGAAACGTCAAGAGAGGACCGGACCTGCACGGCTCCACCCTCCGCCTCTCCCGCCGGACCTGCACGGCTCCACTCGCCGCCTCTCCCGCCGGACCTGCACGGCTCCACCCTCCAAGTAATTATTCATAGCCTTTCCTTTCCAATTTTGTAATTTTTATTTCTTAAATCTTAATTTTCTTTCATTGTTTCATTTTTTAGAGTCAAAATTTAGGGTTAATTCTTAGTTTTTAATTTGAAATCTTTTTTAATTTCATTCTTTGAAATAGAATGAATGGTTCTATATGTAATTTATTTGATTTGGATGAACTGATTTGAATTTGTTATTTATGATAATTATATATTTATATTAAAAAAATTGAAAACCGAAAATTAAAATTTAAAACTGATAAATTGATGAACTGACAAGAATTTATGATTTATAAAAAAAATTAAAACTGAAAAAGAAAAAAACAATTAAAAAAAGAAAAATTGGCGAATTTATATTAATTTATTACGTAGTATATATTTATTTATTTATTTTCTTGCTTTTTTCAGTTTTTTATTCTTGATTTTACTTAGTAGAATTTATGAATTTGGATTTTATTTCAGAAATAATTCAATAGCTATTTTGTCATTTATTTTTTCTTCTAATAATATTGCGTTAATTATAATTTAAATATAATTAGTTTACATATGTAAATTTTTTAGACCATTAAGGATAACACTCTTAGGGCCTTTTTTCTGTTTCGGCCATGGATCCTCATGACCGCCCTGGATATATTAGTTCATTATTGGTGACACTTGTATGTATACTTCCTTTCCACATAGATAGGAGAGGCTAGCTAACATTAGAAACTCTAGTACCAAGGGATCTATTCTGAAACTGGTATAAACTCGAATCAATATAAACACAACTCGGTATAAATGTGAACCAAAACTGGGAAAAAATCAAGTTGAATTTAACCCGAAACCAAACTGACCCAAATCAAACCGATTAGTAAATATATCCGAAATAGATTTGAATAAAAAAGATTTGAAGCGGAACCGAACCCATTGACTTGATTGCCCAGCCCAACACCGATTCTTTCCAGATTTACTCGAAACACCCTCACTACCTCAGCAGTCTAATTT